TACAGAGGGTCACTATGAGTCGCAGGCGACTCGACGGCACATAACAACAAACAACAACATGTTGGCTCAGATTCCGTTTTCTCAACATATAGTGCATTTAATTGCTACATCTGGTCTCAAACTTATTGTCATTGAATCAGAACCGGCTGGTAGGCTGAATCTCCAGTAGGTTTTTCAGAAGCTGTAAATCACACGTGTCAGACAAAGCCTCAGAATCCTTGCCTCCAAGGAGCAACCCGGCTTCACCGTCTTCAGGACAAATCTGTTTATTTTCCTAGCAGTCCATATTCAACACCACAGCTCAGCGCAGGAGAGGAAGACCCTCGATGAGATGGACTGATTCAGTGACTGGGGTAATGGAGGGCAGGTGTGTCAGAGATAGTGAGATTAGCACAGGATAGGGCAGAGTTTAGGGCTGTTGTACACAGGGTCGCTATGAGTCAAAGGTGACTTGATGGCACATAACAACAACAAAATCACACATGGAAGAGATTGTCCATCTTTCTCCCGTTCAACTTTCAGTTCTGTCTGTTGTGAGATGATCCCTTGAGAATTGACACTACCAGTAACCCTAAACTCACAGGCTGTCTTTCTGTTCATGCAGGGCAGAGAGGAACATCCTACCCAACGCCTACAGTGAACATCTGGCTGCCGCTCTGTGCACCAACCCTAATCTGGTAGAGCTGGTTTTGTGCCGAAATGCTCTGGGAAGCCAGGGGGTGAAGATGCTGTGCCAAGGACTCAGACACCCCAACTGCAAACTTCAGAATTTGAGGTGAGTCCAGGTGAGGTGGTCTCTTCTGAGGACCCCTTACCACCATCCCTTGATCAATGTCTAGGGCTGAGTTCACTGAAGAAGTAAAACCAATGATGAAAAATCTGTCTGTAAATCTCCCTACTTGTATCTGTTTGGAAGCAGGCGTGGCATCCACTTCCTAAACAACGTGCCTCCGGAAATGCCGTGAACTTTGATGAATATCAATAGTTGTAGAGGGGCTTCTAGCCTTTTGTTCATAAAGTTGTCATGAGTCGTGCTCGACCTGAAGGCAATCAACAACAACAACATCTATCAACAGACCTATCTAGATCTTCAGCTAGGTCTAGATGGATGAAGAAAAACTTGAAGTTGTCAATGATTTCATTTTACTTGGATCCACAATTAACATCTGTGGTAGCAGCAGTCAAGAAATTCGAAGATGTCACCACAACAAGATAAAGGTAAATAATACAATAGAAAAATGGGCACAAGGGAGCTCTGGTAGCCTAGTGGCAAGA